TCCTCCTCCTCCTCCTCCTCCTCCTCCTCCTCCTTCTCCTTCTCCTTCTCCTTCTCCTTCTCCTTCTCCTTCTCCTTCTCCTTCTCCTTCTCCTTCCCTCGCCAGCCTTGGCCAGACAAACATGCTATGTGAGCAGAAGGTCCCACCCATGACTGGCACATCAAAAAATACGTGTGTTTACATGTAGCAGGGCACTTCCCAGGAGGAAAGATGTCCAGAGCAAACTAGGGCTTGCTTTTATTCATCCCTGCTGTACAGTCAGGGCTTGTAATTCTCCCATATTTGTGCAGCGTCCTTTCTCATGGTGCCCTGATGCTACACAGCTTCCTTGCTTGACAACAGAATCCACCCTTTGGGGCTATCAAGCCCAGTGCTTTTTATTTTATGCCCAAAGTAACCTTTTGCATCTAACATGCATCTAGTCACACATCTAACAAATCCACCAAGGCTTTAGAAATGAAGACAAGCTGGATATTTGCTGAGCTTCTCTGAGGAAGGAGATCCATCTCAAAATTTAGTGTGACATAAACGCATGCAGATTACCTCACCCGCCTGCAGGGAAAGTTGATCTTTTGGAAAGGGGGGTGAGTGCTCATAACAAGCAGCTCCTGTTGGTCACAGCCCTTCCAGGAGCAAGTGGAGAATGACTCAGTTCGTTTGGTGAGTGACATTTGTACTGCCAGCTTTCCTTGAAACACAGGCCTGCACAAGTGCCAAGGCTGGCACTAAGCTTTCTGGATGGTAGGGTATATATCGGCACTGGGCTTGGCTTAGCTCATGGCGATGAGGAATTAATGGGGTGGGACTGACCAAGATAAAAGAAATGTCAAGTGGAGAGCTTGCTGAAGGTGGCCATCTCCCTGAACCCTGAACGTGCACCTGTGTGTGCCCTTTTCATAGGTCTGCAACCAAAGAAGCTGTGAGCTACTAGCAATTCTTCGGATTTATATAACTGCTTGAGGATCTTGATGATTTACAAACACTAGTTTAGCTTCACAACAGACATGTAGATGGGATCCCGCATCTTCACATCCGTGCTGTGTTGTGGAAACACTGAGGTGTGGAGAGACAGAGAAAGACTCGCTCTACAGTCAGAGGAAGAAGCATTTCAAGATTAAGGCTTACAGGTAGACCTGAGCCAGGGCAAAATGCTATGGGAAGTCTGGCCTGAAATGACTTGTAGCAAGCTCCATGGGGGTCTGTCCCAGAGCCAAGAATAGCTCCTTCGTCAAAGGAACATCTTGCCTGCCCCCAGCTCTGGTGATTTTGCCAACTTTGCATTTCAGGGGCAGAAAGAGATTTGACAAATACATTTTAAATCGAGAGTTAACCCGAATTTTGAGTTGCTTGCTGTGCTATCTCTGCGCAGATGGATGTGTGATTGTCCTTGCTAACAGAACAACGTGAGCAGAGGGGCTTATTTTGGTGGCTGCATCCCTGAGCAAAGTGATCAAAATGCAGCCTTTCTTTCAGCACTAGGTGAGTGCCTGAAACATTCACTGTTGCACTGGCAGCATACGTTTGGAAGCATCACTATTAGGAAAAATGTAGCAAGGCACGTGTAAAGCATGTGGTGTGAATGCCACTACAATAGCATTCATTTGGGGTTTTTTTTTTTTTTTTTTTTTTTTTTTTTTGTTTTTTTTTTTTTTTTGCCAAGTTGACAAGATCAGTGAATTGAAAGCACATAGTTAGAGAGCGAGTGTTCCATTATGCTGAACACCATTTTTTTTTCCTTTTGTTAATGGCAGATCAAACTAGTTTCTGGAAAGAACAGTCTTGGGCCATTGTTGAAAATCGATGAAGAGTGTAGAGACGGGAAACCTGTTTTGTCTGCATTTTGTGGGTATTGACAGAATTATGTAGTGGCATAATTGTATGTAGATCTCATCAAATTAGCAATGAGCAGTGCTGCAAAATATTGAAAAGCTGTTCAGCTTTTGCTGCTGGTATTACTGGTATGCATGCAGGTAACGTAGGTAGGCATGGACCTTTCCCTGCTTTGCCCCTGGAGCACAGAGCGGCCCTGGAGGAGGAGTGTGGGTCACTCACTACCCTGCCTTACTACCACGTACCAAATATACTTCTCCTAATCATGGTGCAGCTACCATTTCTGTGGCAATATGAGCTCCTAGATTTGAAAGATGCAGCCTCAGCTTTTACCATTAGCTGACTTTAAAAAGGTGGGGTTGTCAAGCTGCTCTAGGGCTGCTCTAGGAATGGGCGTTGGGCGCGTTTCACGCCCACTCCCAGCCTTGTTGCTTCCATCAGTAGATAACGCAAGTGCCAGGCGGCCCCATCTGCTTCTCAACCGAGGCAGAACGAGTTGTCAGAAACCACCATGGCAGAGAGGAGAGGTTAAAAGCACAAGACACACACAGACACATGTGCGGCGTAGACGCTACCCCGCCACGTTACTCATGTGCTACCGCGTGGTGACACCACGTTGCCGTCTGTTGCTCGCCGCGGTAGCTGGTGACAGCAGCGTTGAGGTTGTTATCTGCGTTGTGACCCACGCACATACCCAGCGGTTCCTCACGCACCACGGCCTTGCCGTGGGAGCCCAAACTGGAGTCACCTGCGGCTCTGGAGGGGACTTGGTGAGTGTGGTTTGCGCCACCCCGTCAGGTCTGTTGAGGCTCTTGCCACGTGCCCCAGAGCGGGTGGCTGCGGTGTGGGGCAGCGACCATCTGTCCGCTCCCAAAGCTGACGACGACCCAGCAGTTGGAGCGATGGTGCCGTCCCAGGAGCGTCGCAGATCCTGCTTCTTGCTGGTGGGGCCGGGAAGCACATACAGTTCCCGGAAAAAAAAATTAAAAAAAAAAAAAGAGATTGGTGTCAATTATGGAATTGAGTTTTAATGGAAAGCTATGCATTATCCTTGTACATCCTGCAGAGAGAACAGATTGCAGAGCTGGAAGCAGACAGGAACCTGCTTTTGTCGTAAACAAGTGTCAGAGAGTTTCAGATTAGACTTAGTCATGCTTTTTACAGTACCAGTCCAGCGTTATTTGTGTGCATCAGCTTGGCTTCGTCTCAGTCTGACACAGAAGCTTATGTAACTGAAATTAGAGCCTATGAGTAACACAATGTCATAGCTAACAAAGTGATAGAAAATGACACAGCTGTGCACGACAGTTCACCACCACTTCCTATGAAACACTTGAGACATATGACACACTTTGAGCAGACTTGTCATAGTTCTAAAAATCTCATCTTGGTGATTAAGATGAATTCTCACTTTCAGTTGAGCACATAAGTATGGACAAGGGCCTTGTGGAGACAACTAGCAGCGAAATCCGGGGCTGCCTTTGGCCTGCTCCCATTGCCAGAAGGTCCTTCTGAAGCTCCAGGATCCCACTCTAGCAAAGGCTGCGTAGAGCTGTGTGGAGGAATTTCTTGCAGAAAATGGACATGTGAGCAACCCAGCCTTTATGGACCCTGTAAAATAAACAACCCTCAAAGGAATTTGGGAGTTACTGAAGCTGCAGGAAGAAAGAGATAAGACAAGAAGCAGACAACTCTTGAAGGGATTTGGGAGTTACTGAAGCTGCAGGAGAAGAGAGATGATTGTTAACTTGTGAGATAAGATTGTTAGCTTGTGCACGTGAGCATGGCAAAACAGTATATTGAGAGCTATCCCTTTCCCTTGATCGCATTGGTCATGTGGTGGAGTCCATATGATCCTCCGCAACAGAGCTGAGCTGCAGCGCTGCCAGCACCTCGGACATTGGCTGCGTGACAGACAGGTACCATGCAGAGAAAAGCTCCCTAAAAAGGAGCAATATGGGAGTAAAAACAGGTTCATGCCTTTTTTTTCTTCTCATTGAAGCCCTCTGCTTTAAAAGATACTTATTTCTTTAAAGATGAATCCAGTGAGACTGGTAGGTTGGCCTCTGAAGGATGTTTCACAGAAGCTTCTTTGCCATCCTATCGCCCTAGAAAGACAGCTCAGCTGCATCTCACCAGCATACCTTCTGCCTTTGACACATAGGCAGAAATGCCTCGTGTAATCAGTCGCGCTTGTAGGAATAAACGAGCTCCAGAGATGAGTCTGCATGTCTCCAGAGTCCTGCCAAATAATTGAGGTTTGAGGATTACCTCAGAAAATTAAAAAAGAAAAAAAAAAGAAAAAAGAAAAAAAAAATTAGTCTTCCATAGTCATGTGCCGTAAACTTGACTGCCATCCAAGTTCTGAGCCTAGGCTGTGCAATGGCCATGTAATTCCTAAGTGTCAGGTGCTGATTTGGGTGGTATATGTCCCAATAGAGCATTCTGCTAGTTTTTTAAATAATCTTAGACTCACCCCTTGTTACACTAACCCTACCTCTCTCTGCCAACACCAACATCACACTCAGCAGTGTGCATGAGGGCACAGTATCTTCCTAATTCCTAATCTCATCCACCAGATATGGGCTCATCAGTGGCCAGAATGACTCCCACCAGCTTTGGCTCTTCTGCTGTACACGCTTTCCAAAGGTTCAGGCTTGCAAACGGCAGCCACCTCATTGGAAAACTAACATAATGTAATGCAATGCTATGCTGAGGGATCAAATACCAAATATCGAACCCATACTCAGTGGAATTACTTGAGAAACCACTATGTGGAGCCAGCCACTAATTATTTGGCTGATGAGAAGACTGGATTCGAACAAGCTGGTGGCCAGAATTTCAGATGTGTGTGCTCCTCACGTTGTGCTCTAGTTCACCTCTCCAAGAAGTCTAGACATGCTGCAACATGAACTCAAGCCATGAGCCTGCTTGTGAGCTTAGTGAAAAATCAGAGGAAATTTCCACCACTTTCCAGCAAAACCCACTGTCCCAAGGTGTGCACATGCAAAGAGAAAGCCCTGAAGGCTGAACTAGCCACAGCAATCACTGATTTGGGAGCCTCCTACAGAAGGTGTCCACAGCTGGCTGCTTCCACATGGGCTGATGTTACATGTCCCAGCAGATCCGTAGCTCCAGAGCCCCTCAACGTGTATCCGAGTTGTGGTGATCTTGGCCAGAAATGTCAGCACGGCTGCTTTGTCCCTTCTAACAGAGGAGCAATGAAAACAAACCTCAGAAGTAAGAATAAAATGATAGCATTTTGAATGCAAATCAGATTAAGAGATTACATTGTCCCTTTGTTACAGAGATGCAAAATGTTCCATGTAACAGGGGAGCCATTTTTGTGTTGTGTCTGAATGACAGTGTTCAAAGTTCAGGAATCACCAGCGAACAACCCCACTAAGCCGTGATTTAAGTCCCAGCCTCAAAAGCAGTATTTTGTAAAACAGCACTGCAGCATAGCCTGAACAAGCATCAACCTGGAGTGTGGTAAACATTATTTCTTATTTTAGCATTTGAGGCATTTTAGGAAGCAGTCATTCCCTTTTTGCTTATGATAAAGCTTGTCTTAATTATAGATGGCAGAAAACATTTGTTATGATGTGGCAGAGCTCTGCTTAGGTCTCATAAGGCAAAAGCTACCTGGAGAGGGGAGTATGGAAAGGAATAGACTGGAGATGAACTGGAATGGTTCAGTAGCAAAAGAAGGGAAAGGACCTGAGGAAGAGAAAGAGGGATAAAGCCATACAGGACAGTGTAGGAGGTGACCAGGGCTTTTGAATCCAGAAAGAACCGGTCAGATTTTTGTGAAAAATGTTTGTCTGCATTTCTTCCAGTTTTAGGTTTCCTCCCTTCCTGCAAGAGTTGTGATTAAATAAAAACTAAATGAAGGGATTGCAGAAACAGTAAGATGAGGTTGCTGGATGCAGAGGTAGCACGTAGATCAGCCCACTGGGAGGTCTCATCTCCAAAGCCCCGCAAGCCGGTGACACCAAGGTGTCCATGGGACTGTGCCCGTGGGCTGAGCTCTCCCAGAGCAGCCTGCATGGAGACTGTGGGTGTGAGGGGAGTCACTTTAACTTGGTGTTTGCTTTTGTGCTTTGTATCTAGCGAAAGGGTTGGATATTAAGTGATGTAGCTAAGGAAGGAAGGCCTGGGGCTGTGTGCGGAATGCACAGAGGAAAGGAAATGCTCTCATCATAGGGCAGGAGCACTCTGGAAAAAGGATACATGATTCTCTAATTAAAAACATCAAGTCACTCATAAAATGGGAGGGCACGTTAGATTCGGGTGGGTATTTCCTGTGTTTGGAGACCTTATGCAACCTTAACGTTTTTGCTGTGTCATTTTGGCCAAGCGTGGGGGAGAGAGGCGAGCGAGCAGAGTGACGGCTGCCGTGCCCTGCTCCGAGGAGCCCCCGCAAGCGAGCGCCCACCTCCCTGCTGTGCCCAAGCTACCGTCCAGGTCCCCCTCTTGGGGTGCAGGTCGCGGCTGGGCTGTTTCCCTTGATTTCTGTTGTGCTTCACGACTATCTGCCCCTTATTATTCCGTAGTGGGAACGGTACCACACGTTCCAGTTCCAGGAGTATTTTCCCATCTCCTTTCCAGGTATGTTACTAACAAGTCTCTGTGCTGTTGTGTATGTTCTGAGCTTCAGCGTGGCTCCCCAGAGACACGCGGTGCCTGGCACAAAGCAGACACGTATCGGGTAGGGATTGCAAAAATAACGAGACTCTGCCTGAGCACAGCAAGCATGCAGGTCCCAGCAAAGCACCGAAAGGAGCCAGGTTCTCTTGCCTCAGTTTCTGTTTTGGTAAGTTTAAATTAGAGCTGCTTTCAGTACCCAGGCTTCAAACCACAAGTCCTCTCTCCTAAACAGCAAAACTGCCCCTAGTTAAAATAACTATCCACAATGCAAAGCCAAGCCCTTCTGTTCTGCCCGTGTTTCCTGCCGTTCTCAAATCCTCTCCAAGGCTCTTGTGATTAATATTTTATAAATTCTCATGTCAATTAGGTCAAATACTAACCTTGTTGTACTCCAGTTTCAGGATTTCAAACTCCACAGATGTGTATAATTATTTGGCTAAGACTGATGGCTCCTGTTTTCCTGATGCAGGGGGGTCCCTGACCTCGGCAATGCACCCTATGGCCCGTGGCCGACGACGCAGACTCATGGTGTTGCTGAAGTGGGAAGGGACCCGGGGGCCTTGGTGCCACCCGCTCACAGCAGGGGCAGCCCTGAGACCAGATCAAGTTATTCAGGGCTCGAGAGCCTGCAAGGACAGAGACTGCCTGCTCTCCCCAGGCACCTGCTCTGCTTCTTGCCTGTGCTCATGGCGTGAAAATTCCCCCTCTATCAAGTCAGGATTTCTCTTGTTTTAAGTTATATATCCTCAATATCAGGTGTATCAGGTAAAAGTGTTTCTCAGGGTAGCCCGGGAGCAAGTGATGCCACGGTGCAGGTGTTGGTGCGTAAGGCAGTCTCTTACCGGGTGTCTTGCCGCAGTGGTGAGGCCGCCCCGTGCGGGCCTCGCCAGCGGTTACGGGTGTCCGCACCGTGACGGGCCCGCGCTGGGTGGGCCTGCGTTTGCTTCTGCTTTGTGCACTGCTTTATACGAAATTTGAGGGACTCTCAGTACAGCTTGACAGTTCTCCATGGCGTGTTCCCTGGTGTGTGTACCCCCACCTGTACGCGCGTGCGGTGCGTGTCCGCACCCTGTGCGTGGATATTTTGTGTGCGCGCTGCTGGCGGGCGTCCAGGGCGCGGGGTGTCCTGGCCAGACCAGACCATCTCCAGAGACGTTCCCAGCTCCAGCGCTCCGCCATTCCCGCAGGAGAACGCCGCTGGAGAACCCCGTGCGCGCTGCCGGCGCGGAGCCCCCGCCGAGGCGGGCGCGCGCGCCCCGCGGGGC